CAGAGGGTTCTAGAGGGGAGGGGGGTGGGAGGGTGGGTTAGCCTGGTGATGGGTATTAAAGAGGGCACGTATTGCATGGAGCACTGGGTGTTATACACAAACAATGAATCATGGAACAATACATCAAAAACTAATGATGTAATGTATGGTGATTAACATAACATAATAAAAAAATTAAAAAATAAATAAATAAAGGGGGGGAGGTTCTGGAAAGGAGAAAAAAAGGAGGTGTGCTGATGGTGAAGTGGCTGCAGATGTTCATGGTAGTACGGCTTTTGCACAAAAAATGAAGACAGGGCATTTTGCCATGAGGCCCTAAAATCTTACCTGGGCCAGCTGCAGATAAGGGCTAGTTGGAGAGGTGATAAGTCTCGTCTGGTGCAATGAGGCAGAGGTGGGCAGTGGGGAGGGGAATAAGGTCACCCTATAGAAGAATGGGAGAGCCATATAATACTATGTTCAACCTATCCTGCAGCTCCAGGGCAAAACTTACAGGTCTAAAGGAAGGGGAAGATAGAGCTTGACTAGAGGACACTAAGAAAAAGAACCTAGAGGACCCCAAATCTGAATAAGGTACAAGAAATGTTCGGGTGCCTTTATATGGGGCTAGAGAGATGAGCCTTCCTGGCAGTGACGGACCATCCGTGACGGCCATTGTTATGATGGATGATAGGGTTTCAGAGCTTGAAGGACCTGAAAGTCATGTAAGACTATTTCGTCCTCTCTCTCTGTTCTACAAGATGAGAAAATTAAGCCCAGAAAGGGGAAGCTCCAGGGACTATGGCCAAGTTCTGTGGCAAAATTCTGCCTAGAACTCTGCCAGTGAACTTGTGCTTCATTATGCCATCCTCCAAGATGGTTTGCCCCATAACCACCATATCAATTATTTTTACCCATACTTCTTTTTTTTAAAAAAGGTTTTATTTATTTGGCATACAGAGAGAGAGCGAGAGAGAGTACAAGCAGGGGGAGCGGCAGGCAGAGGGAGAAGCAGACTCCCCGCTGAGCAGGGAGCCCTACTCGATCCTAGGACCCCAGGATCATGACCTGAGCCGAAGGCAGACGCTTAACCGACTGAGCCACCCATGTTCCCCTTTATCCATATTTCTTAAATATATGTTGCTCTCCCAGTCTTAGAGCAAACAATAAAATATAAGCTCTTACTCATTTCACGAATCTCTTTCACATCAAACACTCCCTGCTAACTTCGGATTATTTTGTTGCATGTAACAAAAGAGAATGTACTGAACATTCAGTAAATGTTCCGGCAGTGCCTATAAAAATGAATGGCGCAGACCCCCGTGGTCAAGGAGCCACCAACCCAGTGAAGAAGACAAGCATGCCTACAAATATGCTTCATCCTGCAAGTACACTCTGTAATGCTCAATGTGCTGGGTCACCAGATAGAGAGAGAGAGAGGGAAAAGAAAACCTCCCTGACAGGTGATGCTGGAGGAGACCCTGAGACAGAAGAGCTAGCAGGGACAAGAAGGCGGCCAGTTCCAGGATGTGCCCGGCACGATAGCTCAGGGAAAGGTGGTGAGGGCTGAAATCACGAGAATCCCCAGAAAACATGGCAAGCAAATGGAGGAGTGGGAGTTGGGTTGGGCTTGCGCAGAGAAAAATCCATCAGGCAACTTGGCAGCAGAGTCGAGACCAAAGTAAAAACCGACCTCTTTTAAGTTGTAAGGAAATATTTTTAAAAAGAGAGAGGGGGGTGGCGCCTGGGTGGCTCAGTCGTTAAGCGTCTGCCTTCAGCTCAGGTCATGATCCCAGGGTCCTGGGATCAAGCCCCGCATCGGGCTCCCTGCTCAGTGGGAAGCCTGCTTCTCCCACTCCCACTCCCCCAGTTTGTGTTCCCTCTCTCGCTGTGTCTCTCTCTGTCAAATAAATAAATAAAATCTTTTAAAAAAGAGAGAGAGAGAGAGAGAAGAAACGTATGTCTTGTCTCTGAGCTCTAACTCTAATCAGGTGATTAAAAGGAACCATTGCAAAAAAAAAAAAAAGGGGGAATCATCGTCACGTGAAGTATAAGGAAACTCCAGGAACAGAACTAAAACTGGTCTTGGACAGATTCTGGCAGCTGTGACCAAACCTACATTTAAGGGTGTTAGTCCTGGGGCGAGCATACCCATTCCTGGCAAAACACTGCTTTTTCTTTCCTTTTATTTTTGGAATCATGCCTCTTTTCTTCTGGCTTTTACTTTCTCACTGTAGAAATCAGTTGTGGTATTTAGATGAGAAATTTCGGGACACCTGGGTGGCTCAGTTGGTTAAGCATCTGCCTTCGGCTCAGGTCATGATCCCAGGGTCCTGGGATCGAGCCCCGTGTGGGGCTCCCTGCTCAGCGGGGAGCCTGCTTCTCCCTCTGCTTGCTGCTTGTGCGCGCAGTCTCTCTCTCTCTCTGACAAATAAAATCTTTAATTAAAAAAAAAAAAGAAAATTCAATGAAAAATACTCGTCTCCGTGATGTAGTCTCTCTGGACCTGTATAGCCTCTAACAAATGATCCTTCAAAACCACCCTGTGAGGAGGTGCTGATTGACAGCCTTCGAGAAGCAGCCCCTCCTTCTCTACAGAACAACCTCTGTGGGTGTCAAATGATAGGGACATATTATTACAAGAGGGAACTATCATTACATCTTCAAATTCAAAGTCGACTCTGAGGAAACTTCCATGAGTGCTGCAAAATACGTTGTGAGCCACACAGGAAGGTCAAGCAAAGGTCGCTGTAGAAAGGGGCCCCTCAGAAGCAAAAAGAGCGGGAAGCCAACATTGCTTGTGGTCCTCCTTTGTGCGAGGCACCACCGCAAGTCCTTTACGTGTTTTTTAATGGTTGCCTTTCCTTCTTTCACTCAGATTTATTCTTCCAAGTATCTCACAGTAGTCTGTACACATTATATCATTTCTACTGAGGATGAACTTGGAGATGATTTGAGCAAGGAGACTGCCAGTGTCAGAATCAGAGACAAACCTATTTCTTCAAACTCCCAGAATATATATTCTTTGTAAGAGTTCCTACTAGTTTTCAGATGACAGAGCACTGAAGGATACACACTGACGCGAACATTAGGTATTTCTTAAATACACTGTGGGCATAGAGAATGCTAAACACTCTGTGGGTTTCTGCCTTGTGTTGGCACATCCCTCTATGCAAAATTAGTACATTTTCTGAACCTGGGTGCTGATACGAGGGTGAACCCAGGAAGAAGAAAGCTGTAGGAGGACCTCACTCTCCCACTGGGCAGACTCTCTTCGAGGTGGCCCTGCACCGCTGACCACTGATTTACATTCTTCTCTGCTGCATGCTTGCCTGTGCCTATTAGACTATTAAAATATTAATAGGGTCTTGGTATCTGTCATTATTAATTTTAGAGAGTAACAAGGACATGCCGAGCCCTAGTATTGATAGATTTGCAGAATATGTTAATCATAGCACTCATTACTCAGCTAAGTTACTCTTTTTTCAAATGGTTTTTCTCCACTAATCATTTCTGATATTTAACAATTTGTCATTTCCAACTACGCATGCTTCTTAGAGGTATTCATATATGTATTTTTATAATGTCTTTATAGCAACAATTTATTAAACAATTGTTGTGCCTCATCATGTAATGACAAAATCTTCTGACAAATACCTAGAGAATTCAGCTAAGAAATGAGTAGATTATTAAACCTGGCAGAAAATAATATGTTCCTGCTTTTGAAATGAGAAAGCTGAAGCAAAAAGTTAAATGACTTTTTAACAACTAACATGCATGAAGATCTAATATTTTCTCATTCTCGAAGCTTGAGATTTAGATTTGGGGTGTGCACTTAACAAAGGCAGACTCAGGTACTTCCCTTAGAGCATAGGACTCAAATATAATTGCAAAGGTAACTAAGAAGTATCTTTTTCTTGTCACCCAAAACCTTCAACACAAATTATGTTCAGAGGAAAAGAACAAATCATGCAGGCCTTAAGAAATAATTGCAAATCCTGTCTTCAGGTAATGATTCTTTTTTCTTTTTTTTAAATATTTTATTTATTTATTTGAGAGAGAGAGAGATAGAGCACAAGCAGGGGAGAGGGAGAGGGAGGGGAAGAAGCAGGCTCCCCACTGAGTAGGGAGCCCAATGCGAGGCTCGATGTGGGGCTCGATGTGGGGCTTGATCCCAGGACCTGGAGATCATAACCTGAGCCAAGGCAGATGCTTAACCGACTGAGCCACCCAGGCGCCCCTCCAGGTAACGATTCTTATCCCACTTTACGGTCAACACCATCACACACACGTCTTTTTATTCTCCTCGATCTATTCCCACTATCATTTCTAAGAGATCAGCACGTTACCTGCCCCCAAAATGGGATGATGGTGGCAAAATGTATAAACCCCAGTCTTAAGTTAGGGAAGCTTATGCATCATACCCCATTACATACAGCACAATCCATACCTCAATGCTCGAGATGAATCAATGCACACACCCTCCTTCAGATAACTGTGTTACTACATAATTACTTACCATAGTATCTTCACCCTCCAGGAAGAGGACTGATGAAAGGGTGAGGAATGCAGATGGAACCAGAAAATAATTTGGCTAGTTGCATGATCACTGTTACTATTTATTAAACACCTCTCAATGAGGCTTCAGGCAGAAGCAGAAATGTTTTCAATTTAGAGGCTGACATAGCCCCAGTTGTGCTTTATCTAAGGCTATCTCTATCACAGATCAGATAGTGATACATCTCTTTTTAACATGACTAGCATGGCTTTTCATGGCTCAGACTCACAAGATGACAAGTTAAACAATAGGCTGCTTTGCTTGTTCCTCTTAGGCCACAACTAAAATGCAAAATGAAACAAAAAACAAAAACAAAAAAACAACCCCCCAACAAACAAACCAACCTCTGGGGAGGTGTTTTCAATTTTCGGTAATGTGTAGTTCATGCTTCAATTGATAATTCAGATCTCTTCTAATGACCTTGAAGAAGCTTACAGTTTTCCTACTATAAAGTGGAAATCTCAGTCCACCTCCCAAAAGCATTCAATAATGAATAATTCTGTAAAAGAAAACATTACATAAAACGGGATGCTCTGAAAAGAGAGGGCTGTAATGAACCCATGATTCCCCACAAACTCCTTACTTTCACTCCGGTCATTAGAAATCTTCTGAAAATTAGTTCTCTCTTTGGTATTTAGAATATAACTGAAAACTTCTTGGTGAATGAAGCTCCCCTGTGGCCAATTCATCATTCTGAAATCAGTGATTAGTCCCTGTTAACCGTAAAGGTAGAAAGTACAGTAGAAAAGACAAGAGAATGTTGACACCATGAACATCCTAAAAGTTGTTACTTTTCTACTTAATCCCTGACCCAGCACTTTCTCCTGTGATCTTTCTCTCTTCAAGTCTAACCTGGGTGTGACAGGGTGTGGGCATGTGTAAAATAAAGGGATGAGAACAGACATTTGCTCCATCATGGACTGAACTACTGATACTCTTCATGTCAACCTTTTTGGCCAGACAGTGGCTCTCTTTGTCTCAGCCTTACTAACATTGCCACAGTAATACTATTGGGTGATGCTATGGACTGAATTGTGTCCCCCCCACCCCCTAATTCATATCGTGAAGCCCTAACCCACAATGTGATGGTGTTTGGAGACAGGGCCTTTCGGAGGTGTACAGGTTTAAATGAGGTCATGGGGGGGGGGGCTCATGGGAATCATGTCTTATCAAAAGACACACCCAAAAGCTTGCTTTCTCTCTCTCCAAAGAAGAGGTCATATGAGCACACACTGAGATGGCCAGCATCCGCAAAGCTGGCAAACCAGGTAGAGAAGTCTCACCAGAACCCGACCACGCTGGCCCCCTGGTCTTGGACTTCCAGCCTCCAGAATGGTGAGAAAATAAGTTTCTGTTCTTTAAGTCACCCAGTCTTCGGTATTTTGTTACCACAGTCTGAGCTGACTAAACCAGCTGGGGAGACAGAGATATTTTGGGAAGAGTCATTTCCATAAAAATAGAGTTGCTCTAAAAGCAATGGACAGTTATTTCCTCTCCTTCATGCTCACACTTTCGACATTTTCATTTAAACACACACCTTTTGACCAGTGCCCGGGGCTGCCACTCTAGAAAAGCAAACAAAAGCCTCAGAACTGGGGAAGAAGAGAGTGAATACAGCTCTTCTCAGAAGACAGGCGATCAGTTCCATTTTCTACAAATGATAACCTACTCCAATTGCAGCAGGTAAGAGCAAAGGCACTAGTGATCCCTGTGAAGGAGCTGGAGCCCTGACACAGAAGAGGTGAATGTCAGGGCAGAGTGTGGGCCAGGCTGTGTTTGCCAAACAGCCCCCTGCACCTGCGCCCTCCCTGTGCCTTGTACCTTGCACCTCGCATTTCCTCAGTGGTATCTGGTAGGCTCAAGGGAGTTCATTGACGAGATCGCTGGCCTCCCACAGGGAATAACTTAAAAGGAGAGGACAACTGCTAAATCCCACTCCACAAGCCAGGTTTGTTCAGTTCTGACTTGCAAATCTGAAGCTTTCTATTTGACTCCATATGGTTGTGTTACATGAGGGCTCACACAAGCTGAGATACACAGCTAGGTTTGCCATCTGCATGGCCCAAAGTGAGGAAGTTCTCAGAGACAAATCAGTCTCTAATAAACTGCTTTCCCCTGCCTTAAAAAAAAAAGTTAGAATAAAATATCAACGCCATGCAGGCAAGTACAGAGATGGAAATGAAACCTCTCTGCCTTTCACTGAAGGTTTTATTTTTATTTTTAATAAAATTGGTTTGGATCAACTTGAGATAACTGCCAGGGGGATGCAAGGCTTTACTTTTGGATACGTCATTTGTTTTTGTTTCTGATCTGGGCTCAAAAGGAAGATTGCCAGTATTTTTCCAGTGGCACAAAGCAGTTCCAGAAGAGGTAAAATAAGAAACCCAACCTGCTTAATCTGCCAGGAAACACATGAGAGGAGCAATCAGTTCTGGGAAAAGTTGCTCAGAATGAGGTATGCCTGGCTGCTTTAGGCCATGCTGTTTGTCAGTCTTTCAAAATTCAAGTCATTACCAGATGCTGATCTACTATAATATTGTGATATTTTATCTGATTACACTTACCTGATTGTGCCTTATCTGCTATTTGCCTTCCCATTCTTCCATGTATATTAAATGCAGGTGCTTTTATTATTCTGAGAGCTGGAAAGTGTTGACTGCTCTGAATATAAATGGGGATATTATATCATTAACTTGCTCCGAAAGCAGGGCCATTCACTGTGTAAATCACATGCAAGGTACCTAGTGGAGACACAATAAAACCATAATGTCTTGAGAAAGAAAGCAATGAGGAATGGATAAGGAGATAAAAATATAAGGCATTGTTAAAGAAAAGTAATCTTCAAAATCCTATTTGGTTCTTTCAAATAGCATTTGTTGATAATATAACCTTTATATTAGAAACTTTTCTAAGTTCATAAAAAAAAAACTTTGGGGGGAGGCAATGATAATATGTACTGTTATCGCTCATAGGATTGCATAAAAACACGATCACTACCGTTCTATGGCTTATCTAAGTTAGGAGAACCAGTCTAATCTTTTAGAAAAGTACACTATGCTTTGGCAAATATATTCTTACCCTCCTCAGATGTACAGCTTAAACAAGGTGAACAAATGGCCAAATGCTTTATGTTATTTCCAGACATTAAAAGGTGAATAGTGTAGAATCTGGCTGCAAATCTCAAAGGAAGTAAGATGCAGTGAATTAAGGCAGAACCGTGACAATGCACGCCTGCCCAACAGTCTGGGGTTATATGCTCTGCTTAGTTTCCAGTATGTTGGCCTCCCTGAAAGTGAATCCACAGTTATTTAAGTGGAAAGTTTCAGAAAATCCATTTCTGGAGCAAATGTTATGTGAGAGTTGAAATGAGCCACTGCCCCGTGTTGCATGGAATATCAGATGGCCCGTGCACTGAGGAGTGTGTCAGATTCCTCTTGCGAGGGAACAGCTGGGAGCCAGGCCCTGCAAAGGAACACAAGTGATTCTCTGCCTGAGGCAGTATGGCCAGAGTCATCTTCCGACTCTCAGATCTGAACGTGTGGGGCAGAAGAAAACAAGTATGGAGACAAATGGGAACCCACAGAGTAAGGTTCTCTCTCCCGTGTAATCGAAGAGGACAGGGTTTCTGCTCTCCCCTTCTTCTCAGATTCCATACAGGGGGTGTAGGACTACTCCTCTCTCCCCACCATTCACCATTACGTACAAATGCATACAGCGGTCAATTTTCTTTTAACTCAACAAATATATGTTGAGAACACCTCTTTAATTCAGGGCTGATCTAGAATCAAAGAATCCATTCTTCTTCTTAAATTATGTGTTTGAAAACAAAACATAGAGGGGCGCCTGCCTGGCTGGCTCAGTCAGTAGACCACGGGACTCTTGATCTTGGGGTTGTGGGTTCAAGCCCCATGCTGGGTGTAGAGATTACTTAAAAATAAAATCTTATTAAAAAAAACATGAATGTGGAAGATGGTCTGATCTTTTCAATTATTCCACATTTGCACATATTTTTTCAGGAAAGCCATTGTGATAGGTTTCTCCTAACATGATTCAGCTTCATTTATTTGTTTATGTATAAAAGTAACATTAACTGGGCATTACTTTTTTTTAGAAGATCTAGTCTTGAAAACTTGTGAAAAGGCAAAATAAATATCCCACATATAAAAGGTAAAACTCTAAGGCTTTCTAAAGAGAATGTATAAAAGAATGTGTTTATGACTTAAAGATAGCCAAGATTTCTTAGGTCATAGAAAGCAATAACCTTAAAAATAGACTTCATCAAAAAATTAAAAACTGCTTCTCATCAAAAGACACCATTAGGAAAATAAACAGGCAAGCTATAGACTTGAAGGAAGCATCGGCGAAACCTGTATCTGACAAAGGACTGTTATCCAGGATCTACAAAGAACTGTGACAATTTAACAACAGAAAGACAAACACACCAATTAAAAATGGGCAAAAGATTTAAAGAGTCAAAAAGTATATACACGAGAATGGCCAACAAGCACAAGAAAAAATACCCAATTGTCATTTGTCATCAAGGAAATGCAAATTAAAACCACAAGGAGATGCCACTATCCTGACGCCCCCCCCAACCCTCCAGAATGACTATACAGAGATTGACTCCACCATCAAGGACAAGGTGACAGACCTGGTACAACGTGGTTGATGGCAGGGTAAAATGACACAACCATACTGGGCCACGGTCTGGAGGTTTCTTCTACCCAATGGCCATCAGTCCCACACACAAGTATTTATACAATATAAAAGAAAATACATCCACAAGACTTGTGATATTCGTAGCTGCTTTATTCACATAGCCCAAAATAGGAACAGGCCCAGTGTCCATCAACTGGGGAAGAGATAAATAAACAGTGGTGAGCAATGAAACTAACAACACAAAAGAGCGAGAGTTCATGTAGTTCACTGATCTAAAACTTAGTTGGGCATCAGAGTTGCCTGAGAGTTTCCTAAAAAATACAGGTTTCTTTTTTATTTATTTATTTCAGAGAGAAAGAGAGAGAGAGCACAATCCATGATCCTGTTCATTTTTCAACTACTTCAAACAGATATTCCAAAAAGACAACAAGGGAAATATCTTTTATTCTGCTTCTTCTATATACCATGTACTGTTCATGCTATCCCATTTAGATTGCTCTACTCTCAGAGTTCTCCAAGTGAACGTCCCAAACCGAATACTGCTTTTTCCTCTTACAAAAAAGTAATAGTCTTTAGTACTTGACTGTTAAAATACCTGCCTACCTGCCTAAAGAATTTTTGGTCAAGGTCAACAGTTGAGATTGCCATCCTGGACTGATGAAGTGGCTGTTTGGGCTTTAGTTCTCTCATGCTGCCTTTAGGTTTGGAGGGGATGCTCCTTACAGACAATATAGCTTCACACACACACATTTTTATTAAGATTTCCATGTTCCCTATTATTGCACATTATAGTCAGAGTCTTTTGTTAGGAGACGTTGGGATTAGGAATCAGGTGTTCAGCATAAACAATCCCTGTCCTTCGTTATGTGATTTGACAATGGGGATGTGGAACATCCTGAATGTTCTAGACCTCAGTGCTCCCCTCTTTGTGGTGGAGTCCTGAGACATCCTGTTGCATATCCTTTTCAGAAGAGGCCCACATCTCTTGGCCATACACACTCTATTTGCAGCCTAAAAGATCAAATCTTCCCATACCTGATTCCTTTCTAGTGCCCAATTTTCCTTTTATTCTAGATACCTCCTTCTATGGAGGCATTGCTGTGCACATAATTACTTACTATGACACATTAAAAAAACATTAAGTCTTAATATGCTAATCACAGCCTATCTGATTTTTTCATTAGCAAATAGGAGAAATGCTTAAGTAACAAAAATGGATGTGTCTTCAACCTTCCTGAGCTTCAGATTCCCCAACTGGAGAAAACAAGGAAGTAGATTCCATGAGCTCTACAACTCTTCCAGTTATAACGTTTTCATATTAGACCAAAACAGGACTGGTTGGTTTTGAGAGGGTTCTAACTCACTTGGTCTTTAGCAGAAAGAGTGATACCAAGTGAAAATCAGAAGCACTTTGAATAAACACTATCCTAAGTTGGGCAGAGGGTTAGGCCAGAGGGGTTGCATAAAACCCAGAATGTGCCTATACATAATACACACTCAAAACTCTTTTTATTAATCATAATTAATGTTTATTGAACATTTATAATGTGCCAAGCACTGCTCTCAGAACTTTACATGTATTAGCTTGTTTAAACTAACAACTCATCGAGGTAAATACTATTATCAACCCCATTTTACCACTGAGGGAACTGAAGCGCAGAGGAATTTGAGGCCAAATGTTACAAACGTGGCACAGCCAGGATTAGAACCCAAGTGGTCAGAGCAGAATTAGTATTTGGTTATTAGTATGTGACTTCTCAATTCTCAGGATCAGTGTTTTGAGAAAACCACCTGGTATCTGAGGGTCTTTCTGGAATGTATTTTAATGACCTAACAAGATGTGGCAAACTCATGACTCACTGCTCCTTCTTGCACCTTTGGCAGAATCCAGGTTTGGGTCTCACAATCCATTTTAACATAGTGCTCAGAGCAGGCCTTACCATTATTTGGAGTTGACACGTGAGAAACATGCTATCCCTCATAAAAATTGACAAGTGACCAAAAGAGACCTACATACAGCCATCAATTCCCTGCCCTCGCTTTATTTCCCAATTAAGCAAGAATACCCACTTGGAACTCTCTCATGGACAGTGTATGGTAAGTGACCTCTATGCTATTGGACGAGAACAGCTAGAAAACACTGCCTCTATCAATGATTAAAGATGCTCTTACCCCTCCTTGCAGCTACTCAAGCAAGGAGATGCTGTTCCCTTGATATTCACAGAGAGGCACTAAGGGCATTCAGGTACAAATGAGCAAAATCATCAATGGCCCATGGGTGCCACGCTTTCCAGGGTGTTTTTCCAACCATCAGACAAGACCTCCTATCACTATCAAGGTATTTAGTTTGTTTATTTTCTATCATTGGCTCATAGCTGTATTATACATTGGAATTCATCCATGGTCTCAGAGCCAGGAAAACATTTGTATAGTATGTGAAGGAGTCTCCAGTTCCAGAATGAACTCTGTCACTCCATACTTCCAGGAAGCTGAAAAGAGTTCCTACTCTAAAATTATATCCTCTTGGGATGTCCAAAATTCCAATTATCAGCCATTCATAATAGAAAATCAGAACCCAAAGGCAAGAGGTTGGCTTTGCATCGCAGATGAAACTCGCTCTGCTGTTTTCCTGTGTGACTGTGGGCAATGGGGATAAGGATCACTTCTCATAAGGTTGCTTTCGTGAGGGATGACAATGTATATAAAGCTCTTGCACAGTGCTTCACACACAGTAGGTAACCTTTACTGCTAGCATTGCCATTTCCCTTGGTCGTCTCCTAAAATGTCACTGCTTATATGAGCCACACACAAAGTCCCTACTACCTTTGTGTACGTGAGAGTTCTTCCCTCTTTGGGGCCAGTAGAGATAGCACAAGTCCCTTCAGCAGAAAGGGCACTTTGAAAGAGGCAGTGGGTTGCCTGGAAGGCACCTGGCTTATTTCTAAGGTCATCCATCCCCAAATTAGTTAACACTCCCCAAACAACAGTTTTGTCCCTGCGAAGTGACCTACTGGAATAAAAACCCTTT